GAAGAGACTACTATGCAATCCTCTCTAGTGGTTATTAAAGGGTCAGCTATTAACCAAAAAGTAAGGGGTCTGAAATTACCAGCCACTCTCAGTGACTGGGGTAACAGGGCTAGGTGTGTCAGAGACAATGAGGTCGGCTCAGGATAGAGCAGGGTTCAGAGCTGTTGTACATACGGTTGATATGCAAGCAACTCAATGGCAAACAACAACAACAACCTCAGAAGAAAGATGTGGCAGTCTGCTTCCAGAAAGATTACAGCCCTAGACCATATGGAGTAATTCTACAACGTCACATGGGGCCTCTGTGACTCAGTGGCAGTGGGCTCAAGCTTGGTTTTGTTATTTGTCTTGGGAATTTTCTTCCCCAGCAATTTAACTCTCCTTCCTAGCTCTGGTTTGTTTCTCTCACACAGCCCTGGTTTGCAAATAAGTGCTGAGACTGTTGGAACAGGAAGAAGTCCTGGGGTTGCATAATTCAGAGCTTGGCTGCCGTACGAATTGTTGGCCGTATAAACTCACCAGCCACTCCACAGCAGAGGTATTGTGGCTGTCTGTTTCCACCAACATTACGGGCTTGGAAATCATGAGCAGTTCCTCTAGGGACTCTTTCCTATAGAGTCACTGTGTTGGAATGGACTCAAAGGCAATGGGTTTGGTTTATCTGCTGTTATTAGGCCAAAAAGCAGCCGAGTCTTTTGGAAATAGAAGTCTTCCAGGCATGCTGCCAGCTTCCAACCTCGTGAAACAGCTCCCTGAACAGGTTGTGGAGGGGAGGGCTGTGCTCCACCACAACCGATGGATGATTCATCATGTTTTGACTGCTTTGTACAAAGTTCACATTAGGAACCTCAGCTCAACCACCAAAACGCAGCTGTAATACCATGCTCAACTGACTACAGTTAAGTAAGTAGCATTGTTCAGACGTCTGCTGCTCTGCTTTTCATTGCTTTCCCGAGGCACCTCTGAAGATCGGCATAGAGACAGCTTTCCAGGTGAGGGCACATCTCAGAAAAGGTTAATCGTCCCTTTGTGACACCCCTGCATTGAAGTGAAACGAATCAAAGGCTCTTTCCGAGCCCTGGGCAGAGTACCCATGCTGAGTCACCCTGGGCAAAGCAATGCCTTCAATAATAAAATCTCTCTTCTCTTCTCTTCTCTTCTCTTCTCTTCTCTTCTCTTCTCTTCTCTTCTCTTCTCTTCTCTTCTCTTCTCTTCTCTTCTCTTCTTTTCTTC